GTGTGTGTGTGTGTGTGTGTGTGTGTGTGTGTGTGTGTGTGTGTGTGTTTCAGGGATCATTATAATCACAGATGGAGTGACGAGTGTTCCTGACGTGGCTGTGTGTGAAACCCTGTTGAACCAGCTCAGGAGTGGAACTATCGCATGTTCCTTTGTGCAGGTAAACCTGGCATCTCTATGTTTACATACAGGCCAGCTCCCCTCTGAAGGACAACGCAACACAACACTGGTCAACACTGGTCTCACAACTTAGGTTCTGTGTCTTCAGCAGCCGTGTTCTGTTCCTGTCTCCAGGTTGGCGGGGCGTACTCGTACGACTGTAGTTTCGGCTACATCCCAAACGTGGAGCTGATGAAGTTCATATCATTAGCCACCTTTGGGACCTACCTTCCCACTTGTCCTGAAGTGGACCAGAACAGCCAGGACATGAACATTTACCACAGGGCCTTCTTGACCTACTCCTTTCTGAAGACCCCCGAGTCTCTAAACTCAGAGTATTTCTGTGGTGAGACAATTTTTCATGCTTTCATCCTGTTTGTCTTCCTGAGCTGAGAGTTCTGCAGTGGTTCAGAGTCTGGAAAATGCCAAGTTAGCTCAACACAGTCTGACTTCTGATGGAGTCAGGAATCTTTGACTCTCCATTAAATCTGCCCACCACAGGAGATTCAAGGATTCCTCAAAATATGCATGAATGAGTCAAAGCAACACTTTGGGTATGTTTTAATGAGGGAATGACATTACAACATGATGGAAAGCTCAAAAATTTGAGTTTATCTTTATATTTTCCATCTCTGGATGAGAAAGGGGGGAAAATACAGCATGGAAAAACATTTATGTTTCTAAAACATATGTATTTATTGCCAAGTTCACATGGTAATATGACATTAAAACTAAGGGGAAAAAAAGCTGAACTTTTTGTTCAAACTTTATTTGAGCAAAAAATAGACATCGTGTTTAACAGCTATCATACAGTATTATTACCTCCTGTGTTATGTTGTCATTATTTAGTGTAATATTAGTGTTTATTCATAAAAATCAAACATTTAACACTCGCTGGTTTTGTAGTTTCCCAGGACAAACTGTTCAATGAGCACTTGGTTTCGGCCAGTGGTAACCCTGCGCTGGTCATGAGGAGGAAGAAGCACACAGAGAAAGAAGTTCACGCTCATCTCATCAGTGTGGTTTCTGTACGACTGAGAGAGGGCTACACCATCAGAGACATCAGCCTCACCAAAGGTAGAAACCTCTCTGATCAGCCTCACTGAAGGTGGAAATGTTTCAACTCTTATTCTGGTGCTTTCACAACCAATTACACATTGAAACATGTGACTGAAATGACTGACAGGATGGAGGCGTGGGTCAGCCACTTTTTCGACCTTAATGACAAGTCGTGATTGTTCCAACAATAACTTACAGCGGGTAAAATAAGTATTGAACACGTCACCATTTTTCTCAGTAAATATATTACTAGAGGTGCTAATGACATGAAATTTTCACCAGATGTCGGTAACAACCCAAGTGATCCATACATACAAAGAAATCAAACCATAAATGTCCAGAAATGAAGATATTTGTAATAATGTGGAATGGCACAGGGAAAAAGTATTGAACACACTTACTGAAATTTATCTAATACTTTGTACAAAAGCCTTTGTTGTCAATGACAGCTTCAAGACGCCTCCTGTATGGAGAAACTAGTGGCATGCATTGCTCAGGTGTGATTTTGGCCCATTCTTCCACAAACAGTCTTCAAATCTTGAAGATTTCGTGGACCTCTTCTATGAACTCTGATCTTTAGTTCTTTCCATAGATTTTCTGTTGGATTCAGGTCAGGTGATTGGCTGGGCCATTCCAGCATCTTTAGTTTCTTTCTCTGAAACCAACTGAGAGTTTCCTTGGCTTTGTGTTTGGGCTCATTGTCTTGCTGAAATGTCCAGCCACGTTTCATCTTCATCATCCTGGTAGATGGAAGCAGATTTTTATCAAGAATGTCTCTGTACATTTTTCCATTCATCCTTCCTTCAATTATTTGAAGTTTGCCAGTACCATATGCTGAAAAACAGCCCCACACCATGATGTTCCCACCTCCAAACTTCACTGTTGGTATGGTGTTTTTGGGCTGATGTGCAGTGCCATTTGACCTCCAAACATGATGTGTATTCTGGCATCCAAACAGTTCAATGTTGGTCTCATGTGACCAGACTATATTCTCCCAGTATTTCACAGGCTTGTTTAAATGTTGTGCAGCAAACTTTAAAGGAGCTTCAACATGCTGTTTCTTCAGCAGTGGAGTCTTGCGTGGTGAGCGTGCATACAGGCCATGGTGGTTCAGTGCATTACTTATTGTTTTCTTTGAAACAAACGTACCTGATAATTCCAGGTCTGTCTGAAGCTCTCCACAAGTGGTCCTTGGCTCTTGGACAACTCTTCTGATAATTCTTTTCACTCCTCTGTCAGAAATCTTGTGAGGAGCACCTGGTCGTGGTCGGTTTATGGTGAAATAATGTTCTTTCCACTTCTGAATTATGGCCCCAACAGTGCTCACTGGAACCTTCAGAAGTTTAGACATTCTTCTGTAACCAATGCCATCATTATGCTTTGCAACAGTAAGGTTGTGAAGGTCTTGAGAGAGCTCTTTACTTTTACCCATTATCAGATGGTTCTTGTGTGATACCTGGCCATCATTTGGGACTGAACCAGCTGATATTAATTTGCACTGACAAGGGGCAGGCTTGCTTTCTAATTACTGAGAGAGTTCAGCTGGTGTCTTGGCTTTCCATGCCTTTTTACACCTCCCTTTCTTCATGTGTTCAATACTTTTTCCCTGTGCCATTCCACATTATTACAAATAACTTCATTTCTGGACATTTATGGTTTGATTTCTTTGTATGTATGGATCACTTGGGTTGTTACCGACATCTGGTGAAAATTTCATGTCATTAGCACCTCTAGTAATATATTTACTGAGAAAAATGGTGAYGTGTTCAATACTTATTTTACCCGCTGTAACTTCCTGAATCTCCCAACCGTGATCAGAACTGAAGAAGCCTTTTGAATAAGAGATTTAATGTCCTAAATTGTCTTTGATATCAGTTTTTTTTGTTTGGTTTGTTTGTCATCTGCTAACAATGGAACTAGCTTTCTGATTTAGCGCATTAGCTTTTTTGCTAACTTTGGAAACTCTTAGTGGATGGATTAGCTAAATTATATTACACGAATTTACAGCCCACAAAAACTTCACAAGTGTAACACTTCTATTTTTATACCATCTATCCCAAATTAAATAAAAACTGTCTCTGTTAACAACTCTGTTTTGCACCATGTGTGTAGCATGTAGCATCTTTAGCAGCTAAGCTTCAAAGAAGAGCATCAAAAAGAAAAAAAAATACTATTTAAATAACAAATACAAAAATGATAAAAATATGACAGAGAAAGCTTTTGCTATTTGTTGTTTGATTAACTTAAAATATTTATAAAAATACAAACACGATCAAAGAAATGCTTTTATTCTGAAAGGGTTAGACAGAGCTATAACTCTGGATTGGCCGATTTGCCACAGATGATCTCACCCACCTTCAAATTAAACCAATGAAAAACTATCTGCAGGTTTGTGTCACTCCCACCAGTCTTCATCTGGAAGGAGATGTAGACGTGTGACACAGACTGAGTGACTGTCGACTTAGCGGTTAGCATTTTGTAATCTGTTTAGCAGTTTAGTGTTAGCAGAGCTAATATTTTTGTGTAGCAGATTAATGGATAGTGAACTTAACTTTTTGATTAGGATGGTTTCTTCCATGTTCTGTATAAGGCACTGTAAAGAAACATTAGAAGTCCAGCTGCCTTCGGTTTAACCAAAGTTTCACCCCAGTGAAACAGATCAAAGTTAGTGTCTCAGCTTGATGGTGGAGGTCTTCTCTGGTGGTGATGAAACCTCTGGTTTCTTTAGGTGGGACGCAGCTAGAGGTGAAGTTGGTTCTGTTGTGGAAACACAACATGCACATTGAGTACCTTGCCGCCGCCTCCTGGCCTCTGGACCCATCCAACAGAACCACCAGGGTGGAGGTGACGATGGAGGGCAGCTACGACATCCTGCATGACATCAGCTGCACCCAGAGGAAGCCCATCACCAGTCCGTACCGGACCTCCGTCATCCGCCGCTTCTGGAACACACTTCAGAGGTTTGTCTGTAGCTCTTTCCTGTTCTCTGAACCCCCAACGGGTCGAGGCAGATCCTTAATGTGGTTCTGGTTCTCCAAGATGTTTTTTCTTGTTATTTGCTCAGGATGTGGGAAGTAAGGTTTTGATGCAATTTGCTGGTTTCCTTAAATACTACAGTATTTTTAATGCTCATTTTGCTCTACACTGATTCTGACTTTATTACATTATAACTGGATACAACTGATGGTTTGTATTTAACATTGTATTCATGATCTAGATTAATTTTTTTGTCTAGCTGTGTGGGTTCATCACAGCTGTTAGCTGTGATGACCTTTTTGTTGACTTTGTGCTGCATAACTCAGCTGAATGGAAATGAGTTTATTGAAATGAATTAAATTTTTGGGTCTGTTTTTAAGTCATGTGACCTGTGATGCGTTTAATGTGCTGCGTGTGTTTTCCAGCATCAACCAGACCGATCAGATGTTGGTGCACCTGCAGTCGTTCAATTCAGTTCCTGAGAACTACACAATCCCAGAGAGCACCAAGAACGGCGTGCCCCTCTTCTACATTCCTCCTGGTTCCACGACCCCGGTACTGTGCTGTACTGAATCCACTCAGTTCAGAGCTTTGCATTTGATTTGCACATGATTTGTGTATTTTCTTTGTTTTTATTGTATATAGTTTTTTTATGAACTGAATACATTTTTTGAATTGAATTGGAAAATACAACAACCTTTGAACGTGTTCACGGTGCTGAAGCTGGACTCAGACACTTTGAACCGTCCTCCTCTGAGTTTACCTCATTTGACTGAATGACCTCCTGTCGTTTCAGGTCCTGTCTCTTCAGCACAGTGGATCCAAAGACTCGTCTCAGTCCCAGTTTGCTTTGTACTGGAAACCCATACTCTCCATGGACACCAACTTCTGGCAGCGATGGCTCCACATGCACCACATTACAATCATCCTGGAACACGACTTGTGAGGAAAACAGGCTTTTCTTACAGTTTAAACAGATTTTGCTAATTCATAACTTGAGACGTGACCACTTATGGAAGCTCATCCATCTATCTGTCTCATTTAATCTACATAATCGTATTTAGCTGAGGTGTAACCTGTTCCTACGTTTCTTGTTCTGAAGACTAATAGCACCTCGGCCTAAAAATTAAGCTCAACACCTCAAACCCACCCCAAAAGCTGGGGCAGAGCTAGGATCCCACCCTGAGGATCAGGGCGATGACAGTCACATCCAGGCTGTAGAATATAATGAAAGTATCTGGAGGCTGTAGCTGGCTGGCTTCTTTTTAGGACTGGGAGAACAAACCTGAGTTCCCCTGAGGAACAACATAAATTACTGAGGCTATCAGACCTGTTACCTATGTTCTGTCCAAGTAGTGTGTCAACTTTAACTGGTCTGATGTGCAGATCAGATGGTCTGTCCCTCTTGGCGTTGTGGTCACACATACCAGCAGCTCCAGAGCAAGAAACTGTGTGAAATGTTAGACCTTTAAATGCAGGTTATAATTAGCCTTTTCATGTTTTTTCTCACTGTATCAGTAGCATCAGATAAATAAATTTTGTCCTCGCAGACCCGTCCCCAAACACCTGCACACAGCTGGAAGCAACGGCCGTTACAGCACCATTCAGTGCCGCATCTCCCACTCTGCCCTCACGTCCCTGCTGAAGGACTGCAGCAGCTTTGTGTTGGTGGAAGGCTACTCATATGTCAAGCTAATATACAGGTGAGATGACAGACAGCAAAAATACACAACACTCACATTTGTACTTTTTTGTAGTTTTCATGTGAAGCATATAATGGACATGTAATAGGGTTTTAAAGAATGCTGCAATCAGTTTCTCCTTAAGGTCCTGTTATAAGCGCCAACTGTGCTGTGTTAGCTTGCATGCTAGTTAGCTGGTTGCTATGCTTGTTAGCCATGCTCTCAAGACCATTTTGCTAAGTAAGTTTTTCTTCCAGCGGTTTAGAGCAGATGTCCCTTTTTCTTAACTGGCTCTGACATCATCAATTCAAGTTTAGTATAATTTCATCTCAAATGTCTTGTATTATTAACTTGATGCAGTGTAGCATCTCTGCATTAGCATCAGGCTTCTTGGGGGGACTCTGGCTCCAAGGTCTGATAGTGAAACCTCCCTCAGGCTGTCTTGGCCGACTCGGTTTTTGTCAAAAGACTTGACATTTATCCAGATATGACTAGAGGTCGTAAAGGTACGGATAGCCTTAGCCTGTTAGCTTTAGCATTAGCCCTGATGCTATCACCATATATATGTATTAGCTCAGCGCTACACATTCTCCTCTCATCACTGAGGTCCTCCATCCACATGACAGAGAGGAGAACACAAAAATGACTCAGCCTGCAACTGAAAATATGGATGGAGGACCTCAGTTTAGCTTGTTTGTCGCGCTAGTGCCGAGCTAATACATATAAGGCAATATAGCATGAGGGCTAGCGCGAAGGTTAACAGGCTAAGCTGAGGATCTTCTTCCATGAAGCAGTTCTGTTGTCCTCCATCCATATTTTCAGTTGAGTCATTTCTACCTTCTCCTCTCTGTCAACGCTCTCTGGTTTCATTTAAAAAAGCCAGACGTCAGATATTGTCCAAGATTAACCTTCAGGGTGGAGATAGCTCGCTAGCAGCCTCGCACCGATGACCTAGTTGATGTCATCATTTACCCAGAATGCTTTGTGTGTAAATAAAATGGCTCCGTCAGTGTTAAAATATATTTTAAGAAATTTACAAAACTAAACAGGCTACAGTATTTTTACAGACTTTATTTTACAGTAAAAATAAATGTTTATCAAATAAAGTTTAATTTTACAACTAATCGTGGATCCCTTTAAAACTGATTTTATTTGTTTCCACAGTTCGTGTGAGCAGATTCCCACTTCCTTCTACTTGGTCCGTCTCATCTCTAAGACGCCCTGCATGGTTCTGCGTTTGGGCTTCCCTATAGGCACCCCAGCCAATGTTAGAAACAAGGTATCGATACTAATAAATACTTACAACTTATCAAACTTGTTTACCACATTTTATCAGGGAGAAAGTGAGTGTATTTAACATTCTGCGTACGTGTAATCACATATGCACTCTACAGACGGCTGCAGTCAAAGGTTTTTCTGTGCTTACACTCGTGGATGAACAACAGTAGCAATGGTGGATAACAGAGTAAGATAAGATAAAACAAGACAAGACAAGATAAGATAAGATAGATCTTTATTGTCATTGTACAGAGCACAATGAAATTACAGTTCAGAACACCCATTCAGAAGAAGACAGAACATAACAAACATAGGAGACAGTGTTTCCCTAAGCTAAGTAGCAATGGTGTATGACAGAGTAAGATAAGATAAGACAAGATAAGATAAGATAAGATAAGATAGATCCCACAG